GATGGGCCCAGTACAAGAACTTAACAAAACAGAACTCACTGTTCAATGGGTCTTTCCATAAGCTTTGGAAACACCAAATTAAAGTCCAAAGGATCAGCAGGTTTTCAAATGGGAGGATACAAATTTGTATCCTTTAAAGAAACATTTAATCAGGCGATGGTTAAACACCGTAATTATTTTCAAATGGACACTGTCGGTAGAAATAGCAACTCAAAGGGTTTACTTAGGGGCACACCAACACGTCATGCACTAACTGGCCTACTGTGTGCCAGCAGGGTCTACACAGGCCAATCAGCATGCAATATGGTGTGCATTAGAATGGGCCATTCTGCCCATCAAGTCGTGAAAGGCCCTTGTATCACTTGGAGGGAGGATGAAATAATCAACACAGCATCAGCTGGAGATGAAAAATAAAAGGGGCACTTCCAAGCACTGTGCTACCAGCTCCTGAGAAAGAGACTGACTCCACATCAGGTAGTACTATTGATTCTCAGCTACTTGGATGGAGGCGACTGTATCTCCAGAGAAATCTGCTTTTCTTTGAAGACATGTAGGATGGAAAGGAAGCAGCAGTTATGGTCTCTTGTCAAAGTTCACAGGACCCATATCAAGTAAATGCTGCGTAAGACATAAGAGCTGTGGAGTTGGGCACATTAAAGACTCCAAACCCTGTCTGAACCAGGCTCCTTGAGGTGAAGTTACAATGCAATAGTACCCACTTATCTTGAAACTGAAGAAAATGGCACTGGACATAGATTCTGAGGAACTGTGGGCCCTATGGTACCAAGTCGCTCACCCACAGTGCTGAAGGATCAGGAGAAATGGAGGAACTGATCCAACCGAATATTTGGGGGTTATCTGGGATCTGCACCTGATGTTCAGTCTTCTGAACTCTTCAATTGACCTGTCGACTGCGTATTATTTGATCACAGTCAAATATTGTTAAATATTTTAGCAAGAATGCCCTGATGTAGGTGGCAGCCTAGCTTTTTGATTGCATCATGGTGCCACAGAACTTCAGTTCATTGTTCCACATTTTTCTGAGTTACTTAACTGAGTTATTTTAACATTTTTCGTAGTAACGCATAAGCATTTAAGGCTAAGGTAATTGGAGACCATAAAGTCTTATTCTTCTTTTGTTACTGTTCTAAAAATTAGTGCTTTAAAATTTGATCATTTTTGACAATATTTGACTGATCAAACGTCCAATACTACATAGGCACTTTGCCAAAAGGAGTATATCTGCCTCAATGGAAATGACTGATCTGAATGGCCCAAATCTAAGATGTCTTATCCTTTGTAGGATTCCTAGGACCCAAGGAAGATAAAAGACACTGGAGTCCAAGCAGGATCTCTGTCAAAGCCATCTTCCACAGCCTCTGGAAGTGTAAAATGTGCTTTCCCTGATTCATATGAAGAATTCAGATCCTTTGCCATCACAAACTATTGAGAGTAAATTACTTTATAAGAGAATGAGTCTTTAGATGTTACATTGGCTGAAGAAATTGTACAAGCACAACTCTTAGACTATAAATATCCTTTCACAACATAAAAACTGCTCTGAACACAAGCTCTATTTTTTCAAAGTCTCTTGGCAACAGCATGACAACTGTATATATTTAGGACTGGGGTAATCTTGTGAAAGTTGCAAAACAGCACTGAAACTGAAGACCTTTGTTTATTCACTAACTAGGTTTCAAGAACACAGCTGCAGTATTTAAATTTTCCCAGTGACTTCAGACCCTATCAGAAGAGACACGCTTCAGGATGAGATTTAATTTAGTTTCTATGCTCAGAGCTTTGACTGACTGGCATGTCAGACCCTTTATACATTATCCAATCTAGTAATCTGCTCATGTAATCCAAACCAAACTATGAATGATAGGATACCTAAATTTCACTTATGACTGTGCAGATATACTTAGACGAATTGAACAGAATTTTAGAGTAGGAACTGCAAATGCTGTATGGTGAATATTTTTGAGAAAGTCACCCAAACAAAGCCAAACTGGGGCACCGCTCAAAGAGGGCAGCGTTAAGGGTGTGTCACAGGCGTAGTGTGTACTTTAACTCTTCACTTCCTCCATTTCAGAAATTTAGCCACTCTCCACTTTCTGGAAGGGCACAAGTTACACAGAGCAACCTTAACTCAGGAGAGCCCCTTGCTCAAATGACCCCAAATTTGGACCACTAACACTACCCCGCATTCATGAGGCACAGCAAATGTCCAGACAAACTGAGTGAATCATGAGGATTTTAGAGCACTTAGAGTAATTAAGCTTTAAACAGAAAGAAAAGCTCAATCCATAGCAGATCTGGCACTTTGCTGTAATACACCGAAAGATATTTTGTAAATGTACTGAGGATTTATATTAAATATTTCATTACACCACTCAGTAATTAAAAAGTTACGCGTGGTGAGAACGCCATTCTCTGTACAAGAATTAGCAAATTTGTACTGCACCCAGAAGGTTTCACTTCACTAATACAACTCTGAAAGATATTTCCTCTGCTGTTGAAGAACAGTTGGTTGAAGGGCACATTAGTGGAAGTATTGTTATAGGCTAAAATATTATAAGACTCATCTTTAAACATTGTTTTCAGGAAAACATGATTTTTTAAGAAGACCACTTAATTATCTTGGGAATAATATATATCTAATTTATCAAAACCAAGAGGTATACCAGTGGCACCAAGATACAAATTCAGAACTGAGCCACATTAAATCACTTGTACAAGGAAGATTACAGCTTTAAATAGCAGGTTTCAGAGTGGTAGCTGTGTTAGTGTGTATCAGCCAAAACAGTCCTTGTGGCACCTTAGTCTCTAAGGTGACACAAGGACTCCTCCTTGTTTTAGCTTTAAATAACAGTTTCCTAGTTTTACATGAAGAGTTGAAAGGAGTGATGCCAATATTAATATAGTAGATATATTACAATACCATATTATAACTGCTTTCTAATAATGCAGTTTATGAAGAATTGCATTAGTATCAAACATATAATTTTAAACGCAATAGACCTAACAAGAGGCTAAATTCTACTCTTCTTGTCTAAAATAAATATGACATCCTGTATATGTTAGTTTACACGGCCTCTCCACCTTGTTACACACAGGAAGCTGTTAGCGTTTTAACTTGTTCTAATTTTTAAACCAACTGTGTTTCAACACAGCCCTGTCTACTTGATACAGATACTGAATGTGACTACAGTGCAGCTGCGCTGTAGTGATGTGGAGAAATCCAAGCCAGCAGGCGATTGGACAGTGATGATCAGGGAAAAGAGTGCTAGCCTAGTCAGAGAACAAAGACTGCCATGCCATTTCCATTTAGTTTCATCAGAGGCATGACACAAGCTCTAATACAGATTTTCACAGTGGTGAATTAAAAAAACCACAATCCCATATTTTAAAGGAATCGGAATAGAGACTACATAAAAAACAGTTTACTACCATTCTCTTTAGTCTCCTCTCCCCCAAGGATGGAAAGGGCCAAGATAATCACACTTTCTTAAAGAAGAAAGTTCTAGGTTCGTGTTTAATCCCTCTCAATCCACGAATTAACCATTGGGACTGGAGGCCGTCTAAACAATTATTGATCTGTGTATCTTAAAACTACCAGTCCGTCCAAAGTACATCACAGCAGGAGCAAGCTGAACTATAAAACTGCCCCCTTCCGCCTCGGCGATTTAACTTCCCCCTGCACTGCTTAAACCCTGCAGACGAGGCAATTTACACGGCAAACAGTTCCAAGGCCAGAATAAAAAGGCGACCGCCCCCCCTCCCAGCTCAGCCTCTCTCCACAACTTCCCCAGACCCTGGCCTCTGCCCCTCCTCCCCGCACGAAGACCAATCGATTGCGAGAAGGAGAAGGGCCCGAAGGGAGGGAAATGTCTGGCAGGCCGGCCTCATGGCAGCCAGGCTCCGGGCTTCCCTGCTCCACGAGGCTCCGACCTACCGAGAAAAGCCAGTCACCTCCCGGGGACGCAGTCCGAGGAGCGGGGCACTCGGGCACCGTCTGCGCTCAGCCCGATCGGGGAGCAGCTCTGAGCGTCGAACAAAGACCGGGGCCGGGACCGAGACGCCACAGCCCCTCCCGCGGCTTGTCCTGCGGGCGGCCTCGGGGGAGAAGGGCGGGTCTGCGCCTCTCGGGGAGCGCCCGCTCCCATCCCCTTTGCCCCATGCCAGCGGAGGGAGAAGGACCGGGCTGCCCAGCCGGGGCCTGGTGCAGCGTGGGTGGCTGGTCCCCCCCTCCCCTCCTCCCACGCCTCCCCCCCCCCCCCGTCTGGGCCGGGTCCCGTCCCCCCATCCCTCCCCCCGCCTCCCGGGCCTATTTCCCTTCCCGGCGCTACCTGCCGTCAGCAGCTGCATGGCGTGGGTGAAGGACGGGTCCAGACTGTCCTTCTCGGCCATGAGCTCAGGCAGGTACTTGTTCTCGGGCTCCATCTTGACGGTGGCCCCGGGCAGGAGCGGGGTGGGCGCGGCGGTGGGGGTCTGGGAGGCGGCGGCGGCCGTAGCGGCGGGCGGGAGAAGCGGCGGCGGCTGGGCCCCGGCCCCTCGGGCTCCGCCTCGGGGCGTCCGGCGAGGCCCGGGCGTCCCTTGTCTGGCGGCGGGGCCCGGGGTCCTGCCCAGCCGGGCGGCGGGGTCCTCGCGGCGCTGCATCCGCGGAAAGAGGGGGCGGGGGGGCGGCCGAACGAGCGGGGGGACCGAGAGGGCGAACAGGGTTGCCGCGCACCGACCGCCGGGACTCCCAAGACAGGAAGTGAAGGGCCGGAAACACCACCACCGCCGCCGCCAACAGTTCCTCGCCCAATGCGCCTGCGCTCCCGCCGCCGCCCGCTCCCGTGCGGCGTGGACGTTCGCACACCACCCCCGTCACAGAAGGCTCAAGCACTAAGCATGCGCTGCCGCCTCCGTCGAGAACAAAGCGCCGAAGGGAACTGATGCGCATGCCCAACCGTCGCCCGGTGTCGTCTGTGCGCACGCGCAACCTTCTGCCCGCGAAGACAAGCGCGCGAGACTCTCGTTGCGCACGCGTCGCGCGTAGCGGCGCCTTATTAAGTCACAGCTCCGCCGACAACAAAGTACCAAGGGAACTCAATGCGCCTGCGCAGCACGCTCACAATCAGGCGAGGTACATTGCGCGTGCGCAACCAACGCCTTGAGTCGAGAACAAAGCGTCGGCCACACCTCAGGGCGCATGCGTATTGTATTCTCTTTCCGCCTCCCCGGCCGAAAACTCAAGGCGTAGCGTAGTGGCCTTACTGCGCATGTGCACCTTCCTTCCCCTTCCCCCCGGCCCTGTGGCGTGTGCTCGCGAGTCCCCGCGCGATCTCCGAACATGCTGCCGTGCGCATGTCCCGAGTCCTGGGGCTGATGGCGGCACGTGGTCGGGAGAAGGGGAGCCAGGGCGGGGACTGGGGTGCGGGGCGGGGACAAGGCATGAGATGAGCCAATGGGAAACAAACAGACCCGCAGACACTGCTGGAGCCCCGGGGCATGGGATCGAGAGGGGGGGAGTGGCCTAGACCCCGGGGACAGGGGGTTGTGGGGATACTGGGATGGCGGGTGTTGGGGCACTGGGGTGGCGGGTATCAGGGTGTTTTGGGAATACTGGGGTGGCAGGTATGAAGGGTGTTATGGGGACATTGGGGTGGCGGGTATGGGGGTGTTTTGGGAATACTGGGGTGGCAGGTATGAAGGGTGTTATGGGGACATTGGGGTGGCGGGTATGGGGGTGTTTT